GCCTGCTCATCTCCCTGCCTGTCAATCAGCAACCCAGTCTGCCGGTCACTGGCTTCACAGCGAGCGTCTCCAGCCACAGGCTCTGCTCCGCCACGCTGCACCAGTCACCCGCCTCCCCTTACCTTATGTCTGCCGGACTTTCCTCTCATCCGTCCTCCCTGGAAATCCTGACAGTAAACCTCTTTCCTTATTCCTCCTCAGTCTCGGGTCTCCCCGAGTCGATCCTCGCTGTTTTAGAGTCCCATTTGAAGAAATACAATACGATTCTACCTATTTTGTGTGTGGCTGCTACAAATATGAGGTGAAATGTGCATTCTGTACGGGCTTCAGGCGTCAGAACCAGAGACCGTTGGGACCGCCGCCGGGTTAGCGTCCCAGGCCCGCTGGGGAGCGCGGGTCAGTGGGCGGCGTACCCCCCCGCAGGAGCGGTTGCGGGTCAGCGGGTATGGGATTGAAAGGCCAAAGTGATGACATTTAGCCTGAGAGAATAACATAATAATCTCTCTGTATCTCTCTATCCCTTTCTCTCTCTCCTCTCTCTCTCTCTATTGCTCTATCTCTCTAACTCTCTCTCTCTGTATCTCTCTATCCCTCTCTCTCTCTCGGTTTTCCTGTCTCTCATGCTGCACAAAACTGCCACTTTTCCAACACGTGTGCACACACACACACACACACACATTAGCAGTGCATATTTATAATGGATGGCTCCCTCCTCCCCACTAGGCTCTACGCTGACCTTTGGAGGGAGAGAAGAACAAATTTAGAAAAAGAGAGAAAAAGAAAAAGATGTGATAAAACGACAATGATGTGCGTACGTGCATGTGTGTGTGTGTGTGTGTGTGATCTTAATACAGTGTCGTGCCACACGCACACACACACTTTGTCCTCTTAAATTCACATGGCTCGCCCCATGAGCTCTCGTTTGCTAATATAAATATTACTTTAGCGAGGTTATAATACTTTTTTTCCTCTTCGCCGTGGGCTGGCGGTACGCGCCGAGGAGACACCACGAGAACATTAATTAACATTTTGAAAGTGGAATCGCTCCGTCGGGAATACGGCCGTTTACAGTCAGGTGTGAATGTGAGCAATGTGACACACGGTTACCCTAGCGACCTCACTGCATCCTAACTGTCTCTGTTGTGCATCTGTGTTGGAGGGAGGGAGGGAGGGAGGAGGAAGGAAGGAAGGAAGGAAGGAAGGAAGGAAGGAAGGAAGGAAGGAAGGAAGGAAGGAAGGAAGGAAGACAGAGACAGAGATAATGAAGGACAGAGTGGTTGACAGAGTGATGGAGCAGCAGGCTGGTAGTGAGCATTAGCGTTAGAGTAGTGACTGTCTATTGTATACAGCATGTTTTATTATGTAACACCATCAAGTTCCCTAAAGGTTTCCACGCTAAACGACTCACTGTCGCTGTTTAATATTGAATACACTTTCCCGGCTCCAAGTGGCAATCCCAACGGAAATAAACAGAAATACAGACTTTGGCAGACTTTCCAATCTTCAATGTGAATTTAAATGTGTATGAAATGTAAATAGCTCACAAAAAATTAAAAATATTCTGGCAAGCACAAAGTGACTGTGATTGTGTGTTTCAGACACACACAGCCTATGTCTTCATTAACTGTCTTTGTCACTACTCCCAAAAGAACACAAACACACCTAAACATTAAACATTTAGTCATTTAGATGCTCTTATTCAAAGAGACTTGCAGTGAATACAAAACGAGTTGATTAAGGAGCAGGTAGGGGTTAGACAGTACAGAAACAGGTCATTAAGGAGCAGGTAGCAGACGCGGAGGTATAGGCGGGGCAAGCAGGGCAGCTGCCCCTGGGCCCGGGCCCCTCCCATGTGTCTGGAGGGCCCCTCGCCCCTCGTCGCAGTTATCATTTCAAAATATACACAAATATAGACCTATATAGGGAATTTCACACAGCAGCCAATCAAAAATGGCCAGTTTAAACATAGGTCTAATAGCCCACCAAAAATATGAATGTAATATAAGCTGCTATATGCACACACAAAAAAACACTTTAAAAAAAACAAAAAAAAAACAGTTGAAACTAGTTCTGTTCAATGTTTGCTGCATCTTTGTAATATAGCCTATGTACATAGTTTAGCCTAACCCAGCCACTTAAGAAGGCAAGCCATCTGAATTAAGTGCCGGTCCCAAGCCCGGATTAATGGGGAGGGTTGGCGTCAGATGTAAAGCAGAATAATAAGAATATATGTGTACCTTATGAGGAAGAAAATGCTGATGTTGAGTGTTTAGATCTACAGTGGCACTCCACTCTTATCACTGGCATAGGAAGCGTGCATGTGTTTGTGCGTGTGGGTGTTAGTGGTGGATTTCCTCGTTCGTTTGCGCGAATCAGTTCGCGTCGTTCAGTTCGCCATGAAGAGTCGTTCGTTCGTTCGTTCGTTCGTTCAGTCGTGTTTCCGGTAGCGGTGAATCATTCAGTCGTTCAGTCGTTCAGTCGTTCGGACTCAGCTCCGCCCCTCGTTCAGTAGTTCACTAGTTCAGTCGTTCAGACTCAGCTCCGCCCCTCGTTCGCCCCTCGCATTCGCGAACGGCGAATGCATTCGCCGTTCGCGAATGCCAGCCGAGTCTGACCGACTCGGCGCCTCCCTCGTTCACAACATTCAAACGAATCACGAATGCAGTTAAGTTACCATCAGTAGCGTGCGGCTCATGTGGGCAGGTGGGGCGACGAACCACCTACTTGCAATAGCAGGCTCCCAAAAAAATAGTTCCTCCAAAAATCCTTGCTCCAGCTCCATGAATCTATTTCTAATAATATTTGCATCACATTAACTATCTATAGTTTCTGTAGACCTTTACACTATGTTTGGTACGTTGACATCAAGTTTTGGATGGTGGCAATTCTACTTGAGCGTAATCTTTCAATGTTGGGGCGGTTCAACTCAACGGTCGCGCTCCTCCGTATGTTCATCACGTAACCCTGCAGGCTGCAATAGGGATTTCAGCCCGCGCTAATAGAGTCCTATATGGTCGTCAACTTATCCGCCCCATGCTCAACTAGAATTACTCCGCCAATAGACCCTTTCATTGTTTGTAAACATTCCAAGCCACGAGAATGCGCACACGTCTTTTCGCGCCTAATGGGGTCAGAAAACAAAGTGAAGTACATGGCTGTCAACGATTCTCCTCAGAATATTTCCGAATATGCTCTCTCGTTGCCGATTAAGGACCGGGAATAATATCTCAACAAATTGGTATTGGCTGACGGCGATAGTTTGCCAGACCCAGCTTCCATTAAAGATTGGGTTAATTAGCGTCAAGGGAAGAAGACATCGTTGTACAAAGCATGGGTGGTCTACAACAAGGAGAAGTGCTACATTCACACGGCTAACTGCACCTGCATGGCGGGGTAAGTTTATTTATTTATTCTTAAACCAGTGGACAATGTCCTAATCTGGTCAACGCCACTGCTGGTCCTATTTTCACATCCAACAGCGCTACAGGTCGGCATTTTAGACTTTTTGTTTGGACTTCGTTAGTGGAGGTCTATGTAAGTAGGTGTTTTTCTGACCCCAAGACGCGTGCGCATATTTCTGTGACGTTGCACTCGAAGGGGTCTATACACTTCGTTACTGTATTATACAGCTCGAGCTAAAGATGATTCCAGACCTGGTTGGTGTTTCCATTGCACATACTAATTCGCCCGACATCATGCATGTGTTGCGGCTGACACGTTCAAAGCTTCAAAGCACGTTCGGTATTTTTGTTCATAATTAGTTTAGTTAGCATCTATTAATGTAGCTCAAAAATACACATTAAAAAACATATTGTGGGCGTGGTCGGCCACACGGGTAGCTTCGCCCCACTGAAATTGAGGCTCACCGCACGCTGCTGGTTACCATTCAGAGATGAAGTTACAGTTCAACTCCGACAAACCAACTGGGGGAGGGTGGTTGATGTTAATAAATGTGTGAATAATAGCAAATACAACATTGTGTCTGGTTGAATATGTTAACATATGTATTTAATTTGAGTTAAACAGATTTATTTAATGTATGCATAATGACATGTCAGGATCAAAATGCCCCATTCCCCCAATTCAACATAACGTTAGACAAACCAAACGCAGCGCGATGTGTGTGTGTGTGTGTGTGTGTGTGTGTGTGTGTGTGTGTGTGTGTGGGGGGGGGGGGGGGGGGGGGGGGGGGGCGTAGTAGATTATTGGATGTTTAATATATCAGCAAGATAATAGACTTGGTAAAGTTAGACACACCAAACGCAGCGGGATGTGTGTGTGTGTGTGTGTGTGGGGGGGGGGGGGGGGCGTATTGGATGTTTAATATATCAGCAAGATAATAGACTTGATTTAGCAATGATGAGTTTTAAAGTTAATGATGTACAGTTGTGTTTATTCTGGGTATATTTTATTTACTATTGTGAAGATGGCCATTGGCCACCCCCACTCAAGACCAAGATCCACCAAGGTGGGGGTCCCGGCCGGGTCGCGTGCGTGAGAAGGAAGCATGAAAGAATGAGACAGATTGACGAGACATTCAAATGTATTATTAATCTGGCATGACACAGAAAATACAAAGACAGCATGCATTTACCATTTCACTGATATTTAAATACGATTGGCTGGCTCTCGTGAGTCGTGACGTCTCAGTCCTCGAGTCAATCACAGTCAGCGAACGACTCGCGACTCAGCGCCGCGAATGGGCAGCGCGTCAGAGACTCAGCGAACGAGACGAACGACGGCGAACGAGACGAACGAGAGTGGCGAACGAGGTCACTTCGTTCACTTTAAAGAGTCGTTCGTTCGAACTAGTTCGTTCGCGAACGAGCCATCACTAGTGGGTGTGTGGGAATGGGGGGCCCATTATCCATTTCTGCCCCAGGGCCCTGCATACAGTTGTTCCGCCACTGGCAGGTAGGGGTTAGACAGTACAGAGACAGGTCATTAAGCAGCAGGTAGGGGTTAGGGGGCATCTTGCTCTAGGATGCCTCCAGGTAGACTGTGGACATTGGGGATCAAACCCAGAACTTTTGCCTGGGAGTCAAACACTCTAACCACTGAACTTTTTACCCAGATGTTTATAATATCCACATTACAGACTCCACAGTGTGTTGACGAGGCTGAACTCTGTGTTATTAACCGACGCGCGGGTCCGGTGCGTTGGATGCAGAACCCTTGTCATGATCCGGTTCAGATCACCTGACTCTCTCTGCCCCCCCCCCCCCCCCCCCCACCCCCAGGGATCATCTGATGTCATCTTTCTAAATCGCCAATTGCCTTCATGTGGAATGGGAGAGGAATTTGAGCTGAAGAAATGAATGATCCATCAAGCGCCAAGGGAGTGCAGCATGTAGCGCCCTCACTAGATTACCCATAATTCCCTCAGCTTACCCACAATCCCCCTCTGCTTTCCATCCTACTCGCCCCCCCCCCACCCCTCTCTGTGACCCCTGAACCTGAGCAGCTGGCAGAGATTGTGGTTCGATAGTCGAGGAAACGACAGCTGCCAACCGCTCCGTGCTTATCAGCTGCCATTAGCTTCATGTGACGTCACCCCCCCCCCACACACCACTCAGGCTGAGTGCTGTGTTGCTAGACACACTAGAAGAGTCACCTCCTACACTTTATATTTATACTATTTAAATATTTCTAATATTTTTCACAGGTTGGTTGAATACTTGATTCTGATTGGTCAATTACGCCTTTCTGTTATTTCTTGTCTGTTATTTCCGAATAGCAGAGTGCTGCTGTGAATAACAGACCTGCTATGGACGCTATTTCCAGGCTGTACATTATCCCTTACTTAGTGGGCGGGGACCAACTCAAACAGGGGGTTTGGTTTTCCTTTACATCTACGTCATCAGCATGAGAACAAAGCGTGTTGCATACAGGGCATTTCAACATTAGCATGAATGCTCTTTCCAGTTCTCTTTTGAAATGGTTTGGTTTGTATAGCATACCCATCGTGGGCTGAAGAATGAATACAGTGGTAGTTTGAGTATTTAAAATGCAGGGCGGTGACTGAATAGGATGTTTCCTGCAGCAATGCGTGTGGCAAGTCATGATATAATTAAGGAGATGATTACTGAGAGACCATTAAAGCATGCAGGAAATTAAACACACTGATCAACCGAACCTCAAGCGCCTTTTCAGGGTTGAGCAGATCTGTTGTCTGGGGAATACAAAAGACATTTTAAAGGAAAGCCCCCAGTTATACTAAGATGTGTTCAACAACCAGAAAATCATTTTTTATGGACATTTTTTGTTATGTCCAAATATTTGTTACACACTTTTGTGTTTATAGTATTATTCGTATTATGTTTTTATATTTTAGCTTTTACTCTTTACAGTATTTTATATGTCCCGTACATTGTGTTGACACCCAGAGTAATATCTTAGATTATCTTCCTACCTATATAGCAGCTTTTAAACCAGGAGTTACAAAGTGCTTTACACGATAAAAAGATGAAGTACGAACACAATAGGTCCAAGAATCAGACAATAGGAAATATCCCACAATATCCCAGCCATGGAAATGGTGAAATAAAACACTAGAGTAAAATCAGATTAATAACATAGTCGGCACCACTGACACCGATTACATCCTGCCTAATTAAACCACACCCCTCCAATATTTGAATCATAGTATAATAGATCATCTCCTCTGAATGGCCTTCACGCCGCCTCACATCTAAATGAGATTTAAAGGTCTGTGATCCAAGAGAGACCTTTTTTTTCCTTGAAAATGTCCCAGCAAATGCTTCCATAGGGAATCTACGAGTGGCTCCGAAGGAAGCTCATGCAATATGCATCCGGCCTCCTCCCAGGGTGCTGGGTGGGAGGGTGGTGGGAGGGTGGGTGCTGGGTGCTGGGTGATGGGGTCAGATCAGGGGTTCACCGGGAGACAGCGCTTGTAATAATCTAAGCACAAACCTCTCCCCAAGTTCTTCTATCTGGTGGAGGTGGTGGTGGAGGTGGGGGTGGTGGAGGTGGTGGTGGAGGAGATGACGATGATGATGATGATCAAGGTGGTGGTGGTAATGAAGGTGGTGGTGATGAAGTTGGAGGTGCTGAAGACAATTCTACAGCTGCAGTGTCAGTCAGTTGCTTGGAAAGACAGACAGACAATTTTGTTTAAATGTGTTTCGAAAGTTGTTCCTCGCCGTGGATCTCAGACGGTGCATTTTGCCTCATCCTGACCGAGTCGGATTGTCCTTTTGTCCCAAATTCAGTGTGGGATTGCAGATTACCAAGCGTTGTCCCCCCCCACACACTTAATCTTTCTTTCCATCTCTCAGTCACAAAATCCCCCGACAACACACAGCAGTTTTGTGCATGGCTTCCATATTGTGAGCCACAGCTGCAGCAATCCTCCAGTAATACGGAGTCTGTCTGAATTGAATTAAAAACGCTGTCAGACAAAAACATTCGTATATTACAGTCACCCAGGGGTGCCTCAGGTGTCTGCAGCAAGCGTCTGTCTGTCAAAAATAATGTTTTCCGGCTACAATATCTCCGGAATTAAACGTGCAGGATTTCATCCGCCTGGACTCTGATACCGTGGGACTGACATGTGGATATGAATTTAAATGACAGAACAGACATGTCCAATTCTCGAAGGCGCCGCGGAGGGAGACAATGGCAGTGATGTATGTCATCTATGTTATTGCTCATGGAGACTTAAGATGGAGACTATACTTGAACGACATTGAATTTGGCGCGTTCGAATAGGCTGATGAAAATGCAGTAATACACGGCGATTTCGACAGGGTACAACATAGTCTCTGCCATGTGTGGGCTGTTTGGTTGCAAACCGGCCATTTTTTCTGTGCGAACATATTTCTATTTGGTTGTAAGTATATTAGGACCTTGAGAAGTCCTGGAAAAGAGCCATTCAACATATTGTGCTATTGTTCATGTCATAAACTGCTGCTCATTTTTCAGTTGCTGGCATCAGAGTTTTACTTTAAGGAAGCCGTTATGAGGAATAGCCAACTAGCCTACTCAGTGTCCCTGTGATTGGCTAGTTAAGTGGAAACCATCCATTTTTTTTTTGACCTGAAGAATGAATTGTTGTTCGTAAACCTGCAGTCTCGCCGGAGGCCCTTACTCTCGTGCTGAACCGAAAATAAGTTGTTTTAGACAACTCGGCAGCAGGTGTTGACATTAACTGCGTACACAACATCCTTTGTGGCGTTTAACCGTGTCTTTTTCACAGCTTTTCCAGGGTTAAGAAGCTACTGCTTTTTATAGAGGGAGCGCCGCCCCTCGCCTACAGGATGCCGTGGTGGGAAAGTCACGTGATGGATTTAAAACAAGCGGAGGACTGACTGTTTTGAACAAGATCGCTCTTTAACTTTTTATGTAGAGGCTCCAACTTTGACTGTATGTTTTGATTGCTCTCGCCCCAACTTTTAAATCTCTGTGGATAAAAGCCTACATGTAATTTAAATGTAAATGTGAATGTGAATGTGAATGTGACACCCACGAGGAACTTAATTGTTTCCTATGCTTCCTAGTGAGCTGGGGAAGTCAGTATCTGGAACTAATGAGACACGACCTATGACCCAATTAATCCTCAACCAAGTCAGTCAGTTTACTGCAAAGTTTACAGTCGGAGGAGGTAGCCTTGGAGGAGGTGGAAGAGGAGGAGGAGGAGGAAGCCTTGGAGGAGGAGGAGGAGGAGGAGGAGGAGGAGGAGGAGGAGGAGGAGGAGGAGGAGGAGGAGGAGGTAGATTTGGTGAGAAGGAAAAGGAGGCAGCTGGAGAGGAAGAGGGGGAGGAGATGGAAGAGAAGGAGGAAGAGGAAGATGAGGAGAGGAGAACCTGGCAGAGAGTGTCCCAGAGGGAGCGATACGAGGAGGAAGATAAGACGTCCTCCTACTCTCCCACCTTCTCTCCTGGAAGCAGAAACCACCGTCTTTATTCCCCAGAGGCGGCACTGACCTTCTGGTTGGCATCGCAAGAACAATATGAAATGAATAAAGAGCGGAGTGGAGGGAACAATGGCACAAACCGTGATTGACATTGCCTCTCCAGCTTATGTCTCCAAATGACATCCCCCAGCACATGTGATGCGCTTCAAGTGAGACGTCTTAGGAGGGTGAAATGAATGTCAGTAGCATTGTCATCTGAATCACAAACAGCAGCAGTGGACGCTACAAGGGGTCACTTGGCTGCAGGGCTAAAACCCAGCAGGTTTTGTATGTCTGAAAGATAGCTGCTGCTAAGGCTACTGTGATGCGAACCGGATGTCGAACGTTGAGCTAAATGTTCAAATTAGCTCACAATCTCAGCTTCAAATAACAGCTGCTGCATCGAGTGGGATGTGAAGGCTGCGTTTGTACACTGAGAAATAAATGAATGAATAAATACCTGAGACTTTTTACACAATATTAGAGCTGATTGTTTTGTGTCTTACTGTCCTCTCAACATCTTTTGTTCTGTTCTGTTTGAAAAATGGAAATTTATTGAACACCAGTTGCCATAGTGTTATGAGGGGGGGGGGGGGGGGGGGGGTCGCAAGATCGATTCCTGTTCGGTTTAAATCTAACTAACTGTAGGCTCACTAAGTGTAACTGTAGTGTATTTATTCATTGAGGTTCAAGGGGACATACATTTATTATGCTGCCAAAGCCCCATCTTGTTAGGAGCAGAACTGGTTATTAAAAGGAGCGAGGAGGGTCCGTCCAGAACATTCCTCATTAAGAGGAGGAGGACAGCGGGCATAAAACATCCTGTTCCACTTTACCATTCACCATTTAGTCATTTTATTTTAGGAGACACTTTCATCTGAAGTGACTTAGGCCTGCAGTGGAATTCAGATATGGGGCAAGTAGGGATTAGGGGACATCTTTCTCCGGGATGCCTACAGGTTAGGCTGCGGACATTGGGGATCGAACCCAGAACCTTTCGGATGGGGGTCAAAACTTAAACCACTAGAGACCACCTTCTAGTCTCCATATCATATTTTACTGTTTAATATTGAGGATACTGAAGGACTGAAGGAGGTGTAACGATGTCATTCCTGCCCAAGGTTGTCGGTTCCTTCTTTGTGTTCGGTTTGTTTCTGT